TACTAATAAGATACTGTTTTTGATTGACGATGCCTTTCCGTTCATCGATTACACTTACTTCTCCTACTCGTTTATCTTTGAGAAATAAAGTCAATTTCTCTTGAAATATATATGTTCACACGAGATTGAAGTTTTGTTTCGTGGAATATTCGATCGAAGAGTAACTACTCATATTCTATCATTACGAAAAAAAATTCGACACCACTCACGGTAACGCGAATCTAATTAAAACTAACTACAAATAGGACGTACAGGGACATTTTACACCTCCGCGATCTAATTGCCTTTAATTAATTCAACGTCAGCGTGTGTGATCAAAAATTTGCTACCTAGGTCGAGGTTGTTCGGGGTGAATCGTCGTGACGCGGAAAGTTGGCGATAAAAAAGATGAATGAAAAGCACGGTTTTAAAAGGTGAACAAGGGTGGAATGAACAGAGGAAGAAGGGTAGAATAACGAATGAAAGGGCGCAGAGGGGAAAAGCTTTGAAAGCATGGGCGTGGAGGCGAGGGTTTCGCTCGGACACCTTTGCCGCCTCGTAGTCAATTAGTATTCCGCGGCTGGCTATGGCCTGCGGAGGACAAGAGTCGGCGGTTCTTCCACCAGACGACGCCAGGCGTTGAAAACAGCCTCGAAACATAATTCCACGGCGTCCGCTGTTTACCAGAAACGCCAGACGCTGAAATATTCATGAAACAAACTGCCGTTGGATCGCCTCGTCTCGCCTTTTCGCTCCTCCCTGCTCACTTACTCTCTTCCTTCACTCTCTCTCTCTCCCTCTCTTTCTCTCTCGATGGTCCCTATTGTCTACCCTGTGTTACACGCGCTCATTTTCCTCATCTTTCTTCGTTTCGACGGACACACGCACGCCACCCCGTCGAGGGGGATCGTTTTAACGCGGCCACGGACGCGATTGCTTGGAAAGATCGGATCTTGGGAATGGATTTCACGTTCACTCCGCTCGACCGGGTTTCACTTTCGTTCACGCTTCACGCAGACCTTGTCAATGGACCACGCTATGACGGACACTCACTCTATTTCTCATGTCTACATCGTTTCGGGGGTTCTTCTCTCTCTCTTTTTTGATTAACGACGCCTTTTTTCGTTAACTCGATACACACCTTGATTACACTTTTTTCCTCATCCTTATTTTTATCAGATAAAGAATGCATTCAGATTCAAATTTCTTTCGGAAGTGTATGTATTATATTTACACGAGATTGAATGAATTTTGTTTCGAAATTACTGTTCACCAGAGAGGATCCAATTCTTACAAAGTAGAACGCGTAATTTCTCCCTTCTTTGTTATCTTCAATTGATGCTCGCGAATTCGTTTCACCCCCTCAGCGACGTTTCTCGAATCATTCATCAAACTTCACGCTCACATATTGATCGCTCGGCGAGAAAACGGTTCACGTGACTCGTTCCGTGCACTTCATTAGAAAAAATGTCGATGCAGTGTACTCGCACGTGGCTCGCAATTCGTTGATCTACCTGGCTTTGATCATTGGGGAAGGTTTTCTTACGGGTTTCAAAAGGGTTTCAGGTTCACGGGGGGAGATGGGAGGGGGTAGTATAGAAAGGAGCAATGTCTTTTTTTTTTTCTTCTCGTTACATAGCTAAACTCGTTCTCCAATCACAACGCATTGTCTTTTCGGCATTTATACCAGTGTATTTACAAAATTACATATATATCGGATATCGCTGCAAATGAGTTTCACGTATGTATGTGTATTTCTTCTCCTTTTTTTTTTTTACGTCTGAGTGTGTGTTCAGTGTGTGTGTTTAGTGTGTACTTAAGCAATTAGTCTTGATACACGCGGTATTCATTTTTCTTATCTTTTCTGCCACGTGGTCGCTATGTAGGAAACCTTTCTAAACGTTACAATTTAAATGTATTCTGGTTTTTTCATCCCCGTCTCTTCCTTTGTTTCTTTCTTAATAAATCTAAAACTACGATGGTGTAGGATCGTGCCCTTCTTCGAGCGGGCGATGCGTGTTCGTCGGCAGCGTTCTCCTCGTTTTTTGGCAATCTCTCCTCGTCTCTGGCACCACTTCTAGACGCTATCAGTCTCGACCGACCGAAATCGCGGTGGTATCTTTCGTACAAAAATTGGCAGGAATTGGTTCTACGCTCTTCTGGCCGCGATTCACCGCACGTCCTCGCTATCCGCGGATCTATGCATCTGAACACGGTGATATACGTATGTATATACACATATATATACGCGTGGCAATTCTTGCTAGAGAAAGTCACTGTCCCTTGAATTATCCGTTGCAAAAATCGTTCGCCTTTTTGTTTATTTTCACATAAGAATAAACAAAAACAAACATCGTTTCCGTTCGTCTTTTAGTAAAAGCTGCGAAGGTACTTCCGCGAAATAACCTCGGAAAATCGTAACAAAAACTCTCCACTAGCTTGTGGCTCTTTTGTGAAACAAAAAAAAAAACATTATTCCTCTCTATTCTATTACCTTCTAACGGAATACGTATGAATCGTGGAAAAAATTGCGCTTAAAGGTAAAATGTTATTAATAAAGGAATTTTAATATTCAGAAAAACTAGAGGAAAACTGTTGGAAAAACAAAAAAAATTGCTATCCAAATTGCCGTATTTTTCTATCCCCTGATTTTGACAGGAACAAAAGAGAGAGAGGGGGTTGGGGGAGAGAACGCGTTCGAATGAAACTAGAATATGTAGTTAGAAAAAAAAGCCTCTTATTTTCCAAATAAATGAATAAACATTCGCGAGATATCTTTTATTTAACGATTCTCCCCGTTGGACAGGAGAAATGACCGATACAGTGTCGTTCGAACAGCATAGCAATCGCGTCAGGTCAATAGCATCGCGGTCAGATGTCTGACTGGGGTAGAAACGAGAGGGCAAGAAACGTGGAATTCCGACGCGGCTCCACGATTCCCGACTAACCGTGCGATTCGCTCGATCAGCAGGCGGCCTCGCGTAATTAGCGCGTGCACTCGCTCGACGATTAGGCGGTCTATCCGGCCGGGTAATTAACGTTGGCATCGTTAGCGCGTTAGTCTCGTTTGCCCTCCACCCCTTTGCTGTACCAAATAGAGGGACTGAAAGGGGCACCGATGTGTCTCTCTCTCTCTCTCTCGCTCACTCTCTGTGAAGCCTTTCTCTATCTCCCTGTGTGTATGTGGATAGAGAAGAGTAACGAGAGGGTCGTCCGGTACGGATTAAAAATAATAAGCGGCACACCGGTGTGACCCCTCATTTCATCCTTTTCATCCCCTCTCCGAACGTTCAACTATTCTATTTCAAGTTGAAAAAGCCGCGAAAACGGCGCGAGTTAATTAAATCTCTCTCTCTTCTCTGGACGAAAAGGAACGTGAAGATAAGCGGTAGGTGAACTTCACGTTTCTTTGTGCCTCTTTGAGCAAAAGCTTTTCGACTCGACGCTCTCACTTTTTTCTCTTTCGAGATGCTATAAATCGACGGGATTCCAGGATAAGCTCGCTTTCCTTTTACCATAAACGTGTACTGTCTGTCGGGGATGAAGAATAAAAGAAACGAAAGAAGAATAAAGAAAAAAAAAAGAACAGAATAGAAGAAACGAGGAGTTGGGTAATTTCAAGGTATCACGCGATCACGCGTGCTCTTCGACGAGTAGAATTCAAGTTTCGTGTTTCCCTATTGTTCCTTCGCCGTTCTTTCGTTTTCTTTCAATGTTGCAAAAACGTTTTCCCCTCCCTCGCTGTTTTGTTTCGTCTCGAAACGAGATTTATCCCCCTTTCACGAGAGAAAAATCGAAGTCGATTGGTTATCCACTGTTGTTTCCTTCTTCGCACTCTCTCACTCTCTCGCTCGCTTAACGACGTTACCGGGGGATCCTCGAATTTTCATTCCTCGCCGCGCGTCGCGTCCATTAATCCTGTCCCGCCGCGAAGAAACGCAGAGACAGAGACCCCGTTCCGGGCCACTCGACGTCGAAATTGCGCTAATTCCGATGATTTACAAGCGCGGGGGAGAGTGGCCTGTCAGAAAAGACAGATACAAATACACAGGACCGCTCTAATTCGCGAGGAACACGCGAGCACGCGTGCGTGCCCTCCACGGCATTCATGAACTTTCCTCTTCTCCTTCCTACTCCTCCTCCTCTTCGCTACTGTTTGTTTCCAGCCCTTGTTGTATTCTTCCTTAATTTATCTTCCAGTAACAACCGTTCCCGCTGACTTCCTTCGCGGCAGCCCCGTCCACGGGGAAGAAAAATCTCAGGCTCTCGACCTCCCTCGCTCCTCTACCCGGCCAAATAGACCGCGCAAAACCGCACGGAACGGAAACCGTTTCTTGTACGCTCGGAGAGAAAGCGGGTCGTCGCCGCATTGCATCCTCATATAGTTAGAGTGGTCGTCTTTTTGAAGAAATTCGACGAGATTCCTCTGATTTGCTGAATTCCAACCGCGTAAGAAATCCTCGATATTTTCAAATAGTACAAGATCTTTCGGAAATTCTCCATCAGGATTTTCCTCAATTGCAAGATCACGTCCTCTGTCTATTTTACCAAAAATTATCAGTGATTTTTCTAACAACTTGCAATAAAGTATCCCCTTAACTTCTCGATACATAGACACACCGACATCTCCAAGATTTTGATATTAAAAATTGAAATTCGTAGGAAGGATAGAACGTGCGATGATTCACGGCGATAATTTCACCTCGTCTCCGGTAGAACGTGACTAAATCTCGTTCGTACATCCTCGGTACACTAGGAACGGTGTTCAACGCTCGATCCAAATATCCTGCCGATTTCAATGCTCGTTCTACGATGAAAGGGCGAGGACAGGCGGCGGCTCGCGGCACAGAATCCCTGCCTTTCCGATCGACACATTCCGCGGCCGCGAAGACGCTTCCACGGCATCCGAATAATCTTCCTTCGGATCGTTGCGCAGCCAGATGCCTCCGGTCGGACGTAGACACGCGCTGGATGCGGTGCTCGGGCGAATAGCTTTTGCTGGCGGCGCTGCCACTGGCATTCGTGCTGTCGCTGCTGCCGTTGCTGTTGCTTCGCTCGTTGTTGGCCAGCGGGGAACAATGGGCCGCGACGGCTAGGTCGCCAGGTTCTGCAACACACAATGACACGCAATGATGAACGATGCCTGCTGCGCTCTCGGCTCTCGTTAAAACGGTTAAAACGCCTAGTGCGTGAAACACGCGATTTCACCGACCTCAACCGGTCCCCCTGTCTCTTTGTTTCGCCGCTCTCTCTCTCTCTCTCTCATTTTATAGTATTTTTTTCTCTGCTCGTCTATTTTTTTTGTTTTTTTTTTTTTTTTTTTTGGTATGTGTGTGTGTGTTCTCTCGTTTCTATCCCCCGCTCCTCCTCTCCCTCTGTCTTTCTCGTTCGTTCTGAGCTTGTTCGTTCCGCTCGTTTTTTCCTCCTGTTCCGTTCCCCGAGTTAGCTTCCCGGAGCATTGTTCGAGAATTAAAGGGACGGCCTCCACATGAGAGGACGAACAAAAGGAAATCGGCCTCTAATTTCGCGCGACAATGTCCGTTAACGAGACGAAGAATTCCGATCGGCGACGAAATATCGCGAAACGAAACCTCATACCCGCGGATTCGACCCACCTACACTTTGCGCCTCTTATAATTCTCCTTTTTCCGAGAGAGTCGAGTGGAGAAATTCGACGGTGAACGGAGCAACGCCTTCAAATCGGGGAGAATGAAGAAGAACGACCGGTTCCGGTCACTGGTAACGAGGGGAGAAAGGAGACGATTCCTCTGTTGCGGTGGAGAGAGATCGCGATTGATGCGCTTGATTATACGACTGTGTTCTTATGTGGCGCGGTGGAACGGAGGGTAGAGTGTAGAGTGTTGGAGAGTGAACAATTCACTTGATCACTGGGCAGCGATCGAGAATGGAATTTCGCGGGGAACAGAGTTTTTGTACGTGTGATAAAACTGGTTCGAAGTAGAACGGAGAAATAAGGAAATAAAACAGTTGGCTATTAAAAGAGTGTTTCTTTTTTCAACCTTATCCTTATTGATTACAAAAATAATGCTGCTTGCAAAGTTCAGTTTCTGATACTGTGGAATAAGTATAGTTTCTACTGTACATAAGAAAATGAATTTTCCCTTAATTTGACTAAAAAAAAAATTGAAATTTGACACGTACGTATCACCTAAGGGAAATTTTGAAAATGTGTTAGAAGTGTACCATCAAAGTATCATTTTCCTCAACCACCCGGTATGCTATACAACAATTGGATGTTGCACATTAGCAATTCAATCTTTGATACACACCAACATTCAAAAAGCTAAACTTCTACCAGACTCCGTAGCAGAAAGAGCAATTCTCTGTCTGACCGGATACGTCCCCAATCTCCTTACGTTTTCCACTTAACTGCTGCACTCTCCGCGACCATTCCAGCCATTCACCGAGCGTTACAATCGTTCCATATCCACTTGCCCTGTCCAAAAAAGATATACAACAGCCACTCCATTTTCCAGGACGATTATCGAACAGCCGAAACGCGACACGAATAACCCGGCGGATAAAAATTCCCTCCCCTCACGCCCGGTTTCGTAGAAAAACGGTAACCGCGACTACGGCGAAGAACCGGGAAATGGAGAGATCGTGATACCCGTTGGTCGTCGACTAATTTTACAGCGGCGCCGCGGTGCAAATGAAAAACGGACATCCTATAAATCCTCCATGGTCCCGTGCGTCCACGGATACGAAGATCTCTGTTGCCGATCGCAATTTGCGCGATCCCCGATATTGCTGCCGGCTCGTTTCGCGTCGTGAGATATTAGCGCCAGGATACCGAACCAACCCTCTCTCGCCAATCCACTCCTCCCCTCTGCCCCTAAACCTACCTCCTGCTACTCTACCCACCCGTCCATGTATCACGATACCTCTGCTCGCATCTCCGTTTGCTGTCTAACCCCCTTCGGCACACATATCGAGAGTACGTCTCTGGTGTGTTCCCAGAATTAACCGTAGCAGACCGATCTGCGGTGGGTCAAAGTTCTACCACGGACTGTACGCAATCAGCTGCTAATTGGGAAATGATTGGAGCCACCTCCGCCGACGGTATCGTGCCTGTAACTATCCCTGACCGGTGTATAACCCCCGTAGCCGATATAAATGCCCCCATAAATGCCACAGCCTACGTTTGCACACGTACATACACGTACGATCATTTGTCTGAATTTAACTGGGTAACTATTAGGTAACTACAGACAGCGTGAACAATTTATTCTTTCAACCAGAAAATCAAAAAAACCAGCTTTCAACGTCACTCTTTTCTTGCAGCCGTAGAAAGGTTCTCTGTCCTGTTTTTTTCTTTTTTGGCGAGAGAGAGAGAGAGAGAGAATGTAACTTCATGAAGGATCAGAGGATGGGAATTAAAGAAATTCCTTTGAACGTGGACGTCCAAAGGGCCGCGCTCTCTCTCTCTCTCCACCCCCCCCCCCTGGGA